AATTGCACAACGATTTAGAGTGGTTCGACTTTATCAACCAAAGTCTACGTCCACTACCTTAGCTATCCACACTAAGGATTTTCCAACAAATTCACTAATTTGTTCTTTCTTTTGAGGCCAAAGAGATAACCTTACAACTCCCTCAAGAATATACCCCAATTCTTGAGAACACTCTTTTCTCAAAGAGAAATACAAATTTGCAAACTTACAAGAAAAACCTCACAAGGCAAATATGTTTGCACAATTCTAGAACAAAGAAAGAACACTCAAGAATAAATACAATTGAGCACAATAAGTGTTCTTGAAAGCAAAATGAATATTGAATGAAAAATAGGCTTGAAATGCTCAAACTTGAGGTTTGATGCTTTCTCTTTGATTCTCTCTTGATTCTAATTGCTTGATGTTTCTTGTTGTTGATCAATGGCTTCTAAGCTTGCTTAAGTACACCTTGAATCACTTCTGGACGTTGGGAATAATTAGAGAAAATAATATAGTTGTTTTAGTGTAAAAACAATTAATAAAAACAGTTTGGAGCGTGGGGGGAATCGGTACCCCCTATGGGGAATCGGTTCCCTAAGTGTAAAATTCAAATATTTCGACCGTTATACAAGGGGGGAATCGGTACCCCCTGGGGGGGAATCGGTTCCCTCCGAGCATACTGGAATTCTCGGAGCCAAACCATTCAGGGGGGAATCGGTACCCCCTTAGGGGGGAATCAGTTCCCTCTGAGCAATCTGGAATTTTTGGCTTTGAAATGGTTCGAAATACTTTGTAAAATTATTTTGAAATTGTTTTAAGATTAAAACTTAATTTTACACTTTGAGTAAGGATTAAAAATGATCTTTGAAAGATTTGGAGTAATGTTTTGATATTCGAATAATTCTATCGAATATACTTAGAAAATCATTTGGAAAATCTTAAAATTCATTTAACTTAATTTGTTATATCGAAATATCAAAATGTTTTCAACAATCATTTTTCAAAATTTCATTTTGATTTTCAAAATCAACTCTAGCTTTCAAAATCGATTTATTTTTAATTTTGAGTTTTGAAATTAATTTCGTATATTTGGAATTCATGGTCTCAAATCCCAAATACAACCTATTATAAGCATCTTGTAACTCATCAAAAGTAAATGAATTAAATTCATTTGAGTTAGAAGATACCTCGGACTCTTCACGAGCCATTAGGGACACCACCTTTGTTGGTTCTTCTTTCTTGTTTCCATGGATTTCCTCAAGCTTATTCCAAAGCTCCTTGGCACTTGAACATGAAAAAACCCCTTCATAGATTTCATGACCAAATGCACAAAACAACATGTACATGGCCTTGGCATTAAGTTGAGCTTTCTTCGATTCTTTTTCACTCAATCTTCTTCTCCTTATTCTTTGGAGAAGAGTAGCCGTTCTCGATTATCTCCCATGCATCAAGATCATTGGATTGGATGAATACATTCATTAATTTCTTCCAATGACGATAGTTGACTCTATTGAAGTATGGAGGCTTGTCCGTTGGTAGGGAGTCTTCCATGTAGAATGAGCCGGAGGTGGAAGCCATATTCTCGGTTGTGTCGGGAATTTATAGAGCTTCTTCTAGGATCATCTCAAGGTGGTTAAACCTTCTTAACGAGTTAGGCTCTGATGCCAATTGTTGGGATTTTTAGAAGCTCAAATCGACAACCGGAACGGTTTGTAAAGAGGGGTTGGAAGGGTTTTATGTTTAAGGAGTAAGGAAATTGAAAGATAGAGAATTGCACAGCGATTTATAGTGGTTCGACTTTCTCAACCAAAGTATACGTCCACTACCTTAGCTCCTCACCAAGGATTTTCCAACAAATTCACTAATTTGTTCTTTCTTTTGAGGATAAAGAGTAACCTTACAAACTCCCTAGTTTTTCTGGGCTAAACTAGAACCTTTTCCCTTTACAAAAGGATAAGAAATGTAAACAAGAAAACCTCTCTAAGGTAGGTGTTTACAAGAATTAAGCTTACAAGAACAAAATATTTACAAGAGAAAGATGAAATAAGAATGAAAAACTCTTCTCTTGTGTTTGATTGCTTGGATGGTTGTTCTCTTGCTTCTTTAAGTGTCCTTAGCTTGTATTTATAGCTTGGAATGTGTTTGAAGTCGTATATAGCCGTTGGGGATGTTTTGGAGCCGTTTGGAGATGAGAATCCATTAATAAAACAGCTTGGAATGTGGGGAGAATCGGTACCCCCTCATAGGGAATCGATTCCCTAAGTACAATCTGATTTCGACCGTTAGATAGGGGGAATCGATACCCTCTGTGGGGAATCTGTACCCCCTGGACATTCTGTTTTCTCGGAGCCAAAAACCTGTAGGGTGAATCTGTACCCCATGGACAATCTGATTTTTCTTGAAACCCTTTAAAAAGAAAATATTTTTGGCTCGAAATACTTTGTAAAATTTGTTTAAAAAATAGTTTAAGTATAAAACACAATTTTACACTTTAGTAAGGATTAAAATGAACTTTGAAAGACTTGGAGTAATATTTTAATATTCGAATAATTACATCGAATATACTTAGAAAATCTTTTGTAAAATCTTAAAATTCATTTAACTTAATTTATTATATCGAAACATCAAAATGTTTTCAACAGGTTGGTTTCGAAACCAGTAGTCTAGAATATAAAAATTTTCTGGAGGTTTTTAAACCCCCAAGGGAGGTTTCGAAACCATCTGGGCATACTAGAAAGATACATGTGAGGTTTCGAAATCCTTTCTTGTTTTGGGCCAAATAGGTCTCGGATGGTTCAGGATAGTCGTAGACTTATAGTATGCTTTTAATTGGGATAATTTCTAATAAAACGATAAGTTAAAATGAAATATTGCTAATTTCAATTAGAAACGAGAAAAATTAGGGCGACATAAAACTAGCCTTGATTGATGTCTGAAAAACAAGACGGACACCCGAACCACTCTAGAATAAAAATTCGTTTGTATGCTAAGATATGACCAACTCTAAGATGTTGCATTAGGCACATCTTTGCTAATTGGGCATAGATGCCCCAAGGCTTGACGGAGCAAGTTAGAGGGTGACACAATCTAATGTAGAATTTCGGATTTCCACCCTAGACAAGATAAAGGGGTATGTGAGCTCCGAGATGTAGCCCCTTAACCGTACCATGAAGCTTACCTTTGTACGTATGTTTAGTTAGTATACTTGTATGCTAGCGATTATGAATTAAGTATGTTAAAGTATGTTTTAAGTATAAACATTATAGGATGCATGTAGTATAGTTCCGTTATTAGTGTGACACTAAGCTTGTGAGCTCAACGTTCGGAATTTGTTTCCGTGCGCATGTTAGGAGCAGGAGCCTATACTTTTACTGACTAGCACTAGCAACTAGCTCTTGAGTATGTCCTGTCTTTTGTACTATTGGCATGTAATGTAAATGAAATTGTGTATGTTAGGTTAAAATGTAAATTTGAATATTTTGTAAATCTTAATTTCAAGTATTTCGGGGACTCCCGAATATGTAAACAAGTTACATGAATTTATAAAAAAAAAAATTGTGTGTCAATTTATGGATTTATGCAAATGATCTTGTTGAATTTTAAGGAAAAACTTTGGTAAATCTCTTTTATGGTTCGTGTGACGCCATAGTCTGTTGGTCTTCGAATCTTACTAGATTAGGACGTTACACTTAATTTCTTTTATGAAATATTCATATCCGGCATTTACATTCGAGTCCAAATAACATGTGTAACTTTGCATGCATGTAAAGGTCAGGAATCTGCTAAATATGGTGGGAAAGGAGGTAAGAATGGAAGGTTATCTCATAGGTTCCTATATGGACAGGTTTCCAGATTTTTCAGTGGAGATGGGGGGCTATAATACGTTCTAAATTCAGATTCTATCAAGAGATCAAGAGTTTCGGGGAGAGTTTGGGATCCCTTTTCTCAAGCTCTAATGAGGGGAAAGTCATAATTGAATTTAAGCCGGCCCCCAGTCCAGTCATCAACTGTCAAGGTGGCAGGCAGCACCTTGGATTCTATTTCCAAGGTTTCAACTGCTATAAAGATGGCACTCAGATCTCTCGATTGTTGCCCTTGTAGTTGTTATCAGTACAATCAATAGTTTGTGATGATATGTGTCGATCCTGTCGTTGTTTAGTTTGTCCAAACGGCTAATATTGTGCTTGGATTGGGAAAAATTCAGAAATCGATTAACAAAGATTAAAAACAGATGGATTTGACACTTGGATAAAGCACTGGTAAATAAGGCTCTTAATTGAGGCTTGAAATCTGCAGTCGGTAGTTTTGCTACAGCGTTCATTGCTCAGTGTCACAGACTTAACTTTTAGTTGATTCGGTTATTAATTCGTACGATACTTGAGGAAAACATATTTCTTAAACAAATCAGTCTTAATCTTAAATATTTATTCAAAACATAATCACGGAACGTGTTAGATATTCACCACAACGTGGTCCTTCAGAACGAGAGTCGAGATCATAGAACATAGCGAATGTACACGGTCAATTTCAGACTCTTCAAGGAAAAAATATGTTATTATTGAAAATATAACACCGAGTTACAAAAAACTCACCTATATTATTGATTAGACTGTAGGGACAATCTTCGATAGTATTCACAATACACATTTTTATTTGTAGATCAGTCAAACTCATGCTATGAAAATAAAATAGAATTGTATAATATAATTTTTACACGATTGGTGTACCAAATATTTTCCTCAAATTTATTTTTTATTTAAAATTAAATTTAAATAAAACATAATTAATAATAATAATAATAAATATTAAAAAGCTCAATTTATAATTAAATGAAAATGTTAGCTAGGAAGCTCACATTACATTACATGTGTGGTGTGGAATGAAAATCAATGAATTGTTAACGAAAATGAAATCCCAAAACATAATAAAGGCAAACCCAAGACCACACAATCCCAAGGGATAACGAAATCAGAGCTACAAAACACTGATTTTGGGATTGATTTGATTATTTGATTGATTACCATCTTTCTTTTTCATTTTTGACCTTCCAATTCCATTCTCAGCCTTAGGCCAGGCTCCTCGCTGCGTTTGCTAATTGTCAAATTCATCGGGGACCCGATGATCATAAAAGGAGTATTCGGGAGATACGAAAGATGGAACCCGGTGCATCCGACGTCGGGTGCCTTTTGGGGTATGGGAGTAGGCATTGGGTGTGGCGTCGGATGGGGACCTGGATTTGGCCCTGAGGTCATTGGTTACGTCGGAGCTGGCTGTGGGATTGGTTTCAGTGTGGGTTTTACCCTTGCCGGTGTTGGCATTGGTCTTCCTGCAAATTACATCTTTCAACTTCCGTACAATGGTTCGTATATTCTTCTCTCTCTCTCTCTCTCTCTCTTATTGCTCACTGCCTTGAACTTGATATATTTTCACTCTCAAATTTCCAGCTTTTCAAACAACCAGAATCGGGGCACGGGATCTCGTCTCTTCCAAAATTACACCTGCTGTTGCCTGGAATAGATTTGCACCTCAGCTCTCTGACCTTAAAAGAGAAGCCACTGCAAGACTGTCGAGCATGGTGCCTTCCCACACTAGCTCTATTTTGGAACGTGTAGAAAGATTTAGCTCTCGCTTTTTCCATCCTCGCAAAGGTATGGATGACCAAATTAAATTGCTGTGGATTATTATTTGATGAATCCAGTGGCGGATGCACTTATAGTTGATCTGGATTTTATTGGATTAGTCATTTATTTTATCAATGATGCCCACCCTAAAACCTAAATTTTATTCGATTAGTGACCCATTAATAAAATGTCTACCCTGAAATTCGATTTTTTTTTATTAGTCACCTATTTTATTGATATGTCCACTTGAAGTTTCATTATATCCATCCTAAAATATGAATTTTCTTCAATTAGTAACTCATTTATTGATTGTTTATAACCTAAATTTTTTTTTATGCTTACCTCATTCAAAATTTTTATACCGTTAACATATATGTGCCCACCCTCGAACATTTTTCTGGATCTGCCACTGGATGAATCATAACTTAGTTTTGTAGAATCATAACTTAATTTTGCACAACAACAACAAAACCCTATTCCCATATGTAATGGGGTAAGGGGAGGTAGGGTAGTAGGCTGCCCCCAACGCCAGGTTAAGAGCAGCTTCTGTGGAAGACCTCCGGCAATCAGAAAATTAAAAATTAAGATAAAAATGCAATACATGTATAAATAAATGAATAAATAAATACATAGTTGGACACTTTTCATATGCAATCTTCGTATGCGCGTCTGTAATGAGAAGTAATCCCTGAAAATAAATCTCTGCGTAAAAATATCTGCATATAATCAGAAACGTAAGACCCGACTAAATTTAAAAAGAGGAAACATGAAGAGCAGGATACACAGAAGACAATGATAGCAAGCTACGAGAAAAGAATTAAGTCAAAAGGGTTAAAACCTAAATTAAGGCAACACTACTCCGCTACCCTAGTTCTAAGCCTTCATAAATTCCAATGACAAAAAACGTATAAAAAGTAGAGAACATGTAAATTACTACAAAGACATTAAAAGAAGACAGAGATGATACACCCTATGGATGTGGCCCGCACTACTCGGCTACACTGGTCTTAAGTCTCCATACTTTCCTATCAAAGGTCATGTCATCGATAAGGGCTAAATCCTTCAAATCAGATATCAAGCAGTCTTCCCACTTTCGCCTTGGTTGTCCTCTCCTTCTGGCATCGTCGACTGTAATCGACTCTACCCTCCTGACCGTATCCGACAGTTGTCGCCTAAGGACATGCCCAAACCACCGTAGTCTTCCCTCCCTCAATTTTTCGGATACTAGCACCACCCCCAAAGACTTCCTAATAGCAGAGTTTGGTGTCATGTCCCACAGAGTCCTACCACATATCCATCAAAGCATTCTTATTTCTGCGGCCTCCATCTTCCTTACACGATCCTTCTTGATTGCCTAACATTATGATCCATACAGCAGCGCTGGTCTTATTGTCATTCTATAAAATTCTCCCTTAAGTTTTAGAGGCACCTTCTTGTCACATAAAACTCCAGTTGCAGCCCTCCACTTTAGCCATCTCGCCTTTATACGGCGTGTAACGTCATCATCCACACCCCCATCTTTATGTATCATAGACCCTAGGTACTTGAAACAATCCTTTGAGGGGAGAACGTGTCCTTCTATGCATAATTTTACATCTTCATCGTTTTGGTTCCCACTGAAGTTTGAACATAAATACTATGTCTTTTCAATATTGATCCTTAGACCTTTTTCTTCCAGAGCAGTCTTCCAGGTAGCCAGTCTACTATTCAGCTCAGTTTTTGTTTCAACAACTAGGACAATGTCGTCAGCGAAAAGCATACACCATGGAATACCGTCAGGTGTCACACAATAGATGTCGTCCATAAAAATGGAACTTTAGCACTATTAAAGGAAATACCAAATTCATCAGTTACAAAATACAAATAATAACTCAAATACTAAGCTGTTCAAACATAGAAATGGAACTTTAGTACTATTAAAGGAAATACCAAAGCTTACGGAGATAACGAGATGTCAATAACTGACCCTTAAAACAAAAAAATAAACTGTAATTAACAATCAAATGAATGCAAATTCTCAGCCCTTGAAAACACAGAGATATTTATAACTTTCAAATTCTCAAAAACCCAAAAGAAATATACTTTTTTCCTTTCCTTTTTGAGAGTGAAAATCCGAACTTTGATTGGGAAAATGCATGACCAAAAATTAATAAAATAAATAAATTCAAACTAAGGAGCAAACAAACAAAAAAGAAGAAAAAACAGCAAAGAAAAAAAGCTTAAAAGAGGGGGAAAACAAGTTACCTGATCATAGAACAGAGAAAACAATGCTGAACAGCTTGAAATTACTCATGAAATGAAAAACTCAGAAAGGAAAAAACAAAATGATGTTTGTTCGAAGAGAAAAGAGAGACAGCTTGGATGTTTTGGACTTGTTTGTGTTCCTTCTTCTCCGAAGAAGCTCTTCCAGAACCGATCCAAACAAGAAAAAGGAAGAAAACAGTAATGATTATAGTTTATTTTTCTGCTTTTCTTGTTGATGATTGAATGAAGAAATAAAAGTTGAAGGTGTGCTATTTTTCGTCGTTTCCTTGAAAGAAGAGTAAAGAGAAAGGAGAGGAAAAACAAAGGTAATTTGACAAGCAAAGCTTACAGCCTGTCTATGTCTGTAGAATCCGTCATTTGCTGTTGTATTCTATTCTCTGTGTTACTTTTTTTCTCTGTTAGGTATGTTTGCTAAGCTGCTCTGTCTGTTTTGATGCCGTCCTGTTTTAGACTGTCTCCCTTGGCCATTATCGTTCCTTTCTGCTAAAGTGTTAATTTTTAACGTCAATTTCCTTCTTGTTTGCCTTCTACTGCCTAACGCTCAAAGTTACTAATTTGAACTTTATAATTCTTAAACGCTCAACTGAAAAATTCTTGTTTGTGTGTTTTTTCATTTGCATTTCGGACATACCATGAGTAACACAATCCAAACCGCTAAGACTTTGCTTGGTTAGGTGGAAAGAAGAATGTAAAGATGAAAAAAATGGAGAGAAGTACAAAAATTGAAAATGTATTTTTCTTTCCTATTAGTGTGCTCGGTAGGAAAGATGAAACAATGGAAAGAAGTTTTTTCCCCATTCATTGCTTGATAGCATTGAAAAATGAGAGGAAGGAAAATGAAAATTTCTACAAATGCTCAATCTACTAAATATAAACCCTTAACTTGCATCTTTCTCATTTTCTCTCCTCTTATCATTTGAAATTGAAACGATTTGTTTTTATGCTGGAAAATATTCATTTTTCTTATTAGATAAATTTGTGAATCAAATCCTACTAAGGTTAGAAGACTAAGTAGTTATTTTGATAATTGATCATTAGAAGCAGAAATTCTTAACATTTATTAACTTGCTCATTCTTCTCCTCAGTTTATGTCCAAATCAAGCATGCTGAAGACCGAAACATACTAAAGCCAGTAACAATTTGATTTTACTTTTTATTATAAGGACTTTGACCTATCATTTTTGGACATTGATGTGAGTGTCATGGTTTTTCATACTTGATTTGAGCATAAAATAATGATTTGGGGATGGGAGGGAACTTTATTTGAATGAAGCATTAAGCTTCGAGTGTATTTGAAGTAGTCTATTGCTGATCCCTTTTTCCTATTCTTACCTGAGTTGGATGAAGTGTTGCATTTTCATATTGTTTATGCGAGTAGCTAGTTTATTTTTATTCAGAATTTATTGATGGTAAAATCTTACTATCGAAGCAAAAAGTAGAAGAAGCATTATTACATTTGCATAAGGCCCCAAATAACTCAATGAGATGAAAGAAAAGGGCTTACTTCCGGAATGCGTTCTGAGATGCCATGTTATGAATCCAGTTCAATAACATAGGATATTGAAAATATACAGAGATTTGTCTGGTTACATGATTCATTTTGTTTGTATGAGTCAAAGGTCATTTCAGCATTACTATCAAAGAAATTTTAACACCGCTATTGATTGAATTGAATTTTTCAATCAATTAAAATAAAGGGATTCAACTCAATCCACCATTTTTTTCGTGAGTGTAGGTAATAATAGCACAATTCTACCTTTATCAAAAGGCAATTTAGTAAAAATTTGATTTATGGAATTATGATTTAAGGCTGCATTCTTGCTGTATGTTTTGAGTGTGATTAAGTTGCTTAGTTTTACATATGATTTTAATATTGTTGAGTTCCAGAGTTTCTACATCTTTTGCCTCTATATCAAAGTGAGCACAGTGTAACACCCCCAACCCGGATACGAGTCCGAAGTGTCACATTGACTTTTCAAACATTTATTCGTATAAAATAGTGAGTAATTTATAAACTTTGATAACAGTTAACTCATTCAAAACGTTTACAAAATATATCAGAGTTCATACAATTTATATCTTTAGACTACATGCCAACTACACTCTATAACCAGTACATATATTTTCTGATCTGACATTTGGTAAGGAGAACTGACCTGTCTTGCTCCGCATTACTCTTTACTCTTCTCGAAACCTACGTGTGAAACAATCACACGCTAAGTCGAAGACTTAGTGAGGCATAAAAACTTATAATGCACTTTATAACATATATCAATACATGCATGTTCTGTTCTATCATGTTATACCAAATTACATGCTTTCTTCGTATCATATAAAATCATATCAGATTAATTACAGTAAATACATACATACACATAACTCATCATTAACAGTTTATCATGTAATCACATACTTTTATGCTTAACATTTTCAATTAAACACTATACACACACAACATCATATCATTTCTATAACATTTATCATACCACTAACATATATTTGTTCATATCTCTGGATTAGCCCATGTACATATGTGAGAACTATAGATATATGAGTTTATGGAGGTTGTGCACTAATGCTGTCACCACAGCTCATATAAATGCACCGAAGTGCCACATAGAATTGCACCGTAGTGCCACGTAGAATTGCACCGTAGTGCCATATAATAATGTCCATAAGGACCACATATCATTCCTTAAGAATCATATACATATACTAGGGATCAAGTATGCGTCTCACCAGACTTCACACGTGTTCCAAAGAATACATATATGTCCCGAAGGACCACAATGTCCCGAAGGACCACATATCATTCCTTAAGAATCATATACATATGCTAGGGATCAAGTATGTGTCTCACCAGATTTCACACATGTTCCAAAGAATACATATATGTCCCGAAGGACCACATATCATTCCTTAAGAATCATATACATATGCTAGGGATCAAGTATGTGTCTCACCAGACTTCACACATGTTCCAAAGAATACATATATGTCCCGAAGGACCACATAGACCCTCGACTCTTGGCATGCTAACTATACCCCTAGCTCTCATGACACATAACATGGGCATTGTCATTTAACAGTTCACATTACTTGTCATTTCTCTTCTGTCACATACCATATGTATGTGTAATCATGTATTCCATATCATATCACATGTTCATATAAGCTCATAGCTTCTTTCACATATACATGTAATCACTTAGTCTATTTTCATGTAATTCTTTTCACTTCTCATATGATTTTATATTCATATCTCACATATTTCATATAGTCACTTAGCTTATTTCATTTCACATTGGGCATGTCTCATAGCATATATCACACATGCATATAATCATGTAACATATATAATAACCTATATCCATTTCATGTCTCCATGCACATACCAAAATCATAAATCAAATGACATTGTATTATTACATACTTTGTTCCATAGCCATATATTTACATATCTTAAACTTACCTAGTTTACTCTATTTCACACATAGTCACATAATCACGTAATATACTTACGCATAGATCATTTTCATACCTAAATCATATAACACCCAATTCTTCCTCATAAAGTTATATATTATATTCATATAATATCATATTATCCTATAAGTAAATACTTATCTTATGGTTTGGTATCATCAGTTATACTCAATTCCCTTCACTAATATATTATTCTCATATTACTCTCTAGTCTAATCTTATTTAACTCATCACCTTTCTCATGTAGTCATATAAATCTATTATATAAATTCTTATAATTGATCACTTATACTATTAACATGTATGGCCACTTATCATATAACCTATTTCATATTCCCATGCAATCATATAGACCATTCATATTAATTCCTATACTTATCACAATACATGTATTCACACAATCATTTAACACATTGTAATATATATCACATATACCCAAATCAAACATATGCCTATGATCATAAATTAATGCATTATAATATAGGAAATAGACTCGTCGCAAGTCTTATTTCCATTAAACATCATAAACTAACTTGTATGCACTCATCTGGCCTCACTAGTCCATTCCAATCTCTTATCTTCCCTTTTTATCGATCTTACTTGTCAATGATTCCGGAACTCGTTTAGGCTCTAAATCTACATAATAATTCATTGATACTTATCAGTATACTAATTAGTATATTCTAAACTATCATTTCTTCGGCTAAAAGAAAAGCCATTTTCATCTTTTAATGGAGGCATGCATCGATGCACTCCTGATGCATCGATGCACTGAGGGCATTCGATGTTCATTTTATTAGAAATGCATCGATGCACTCCTTATGCATCGATGCACTGACGACATTCGATGTTTGTATTTAAATTAATGCATCGATGCACTTCATATGCATCGATGCACCTTCAACAAATTTCTGGGATTTATCATTAATGCATCGGTGCATAATGAATGTGCATCGATGCACATTGCCCAGAAATGTCATTTAAGCACGAAAATCTCTTCTTACTCTACTTGACACTTTATATTTCTCCTCTTTTAATATCCCTAACTTACATACTCTTACTTAAACTAATTATTATCCATTAAATACTTCTAAAACTTAGAAATCTAATTCTCCATGTAGAATTTAAGAATCTAACCCAAATTCCAACATGTTCTAATTTGAATTCTAACACCTCATACTTCTTAGTTAGCTTTATGACAAGTCAAATCCCACTTTCAATTCTTATTATGAACTCTACTTCAAGATTTCACTTTTCTACTTCCTTTCTTTAATTCTTCCTATTCTCCTCATCTTATGGTTTTAAGATAATCTAAGCTTTCCTTAAGCTTAGTTATTATCTAAGGATCAATAAGCAACCTTAAATTCATCAAGAATTTGATTCACAAGAAAACTCACCTTTAGCTTGGCTTCACGGGGAGAAGAAGAAGAAGATGAGAGAAATGTCTAGAACTCTCATTTTTCTCCCAAATGCCATCCACGTGGGTTATAAGATAACCCCAAATAATATTAAATTCATTTACTTGATAAAAGACTAGTTTGCCCTCTTAACTTTTCCTTATATGCTAAATTATCCTTCTCCAAATATTTTAATCCAGTTCATGAACTTTCAATTTATCTAATTTGGTCACTGAAATTAAAATCTCACAATTTGATCACTAACCCGGTATGAGGGATGTTACACACAGTTTGTCAGCAGCCAACTTTTCCCTTTATGTATTCTGTGAGCGTGACACAGGCACACAGCACAGCAGATATTAATCTAGACTTTTCTGGTGATTTCCATTTGTCATTGAAGTTTATCTGCTTTTGCCTAAGTAAGATGGTTCAACCCTAGTTCTGAATTCTTGTTTGAAATTCAGATTTGCTACAAAACTGCATCTTGAGTATAAATGACCTATGGACAAGACATTACGTCTTTATGTTTGGGTCCAATGCACTGAAATGATAATGGATATGGTGAGATAGATGCAATTAGTAAATGAACTTCAAATATCATTTTAATAAATATCAATTCTTACTTTGTTGCAGGTTCAAAAGATTAGGTGCTTTGTTTATGTATATGCCATGTGACACATTTCAAATTATATGATGAAGAAAATGGCAGTGCATTTGGTGCGTGCATGGGAGACCATGAGCTGCTTGATGGTAATGCTAATGTCATATGGAGGAAGAGCCCGTTCCCTCCCCCACCCCACTCCTTTTCTTCTCAGGCAGGATCCATGTTTTTGAGACTAACAGATGATTTCATTTGAGTTTTAAGGTTGTTTCAAGTTGTCCATAGGGAAGTTATATAGATATAGGATTGACAGGCTGATGCATTTGTTATTCTCTACTCGAATATGCTGTGGAATGGAATGATTGTTTTCGCAATATGAATTCATCTCTTCTATTCTTCCATCACCGCAAGACAAGAAAATGTCCCCACATTGTCGGGCAGTCTGGAACTGTCCTTTTATGAGTTGCTTGTGGAAATTATTGGCCATCTTTGTTTTGCTCATCGCAAGACAAGGCGAGAGAAACTAGTGCCCTTGGGTTGGGATCATAGTAATTTGTGTTTTCTGATGAAGATGCAACCATACCAACCATATTACTTCTTGTGCAAGTAGTTATAGGAGTATATTTATTGGTTGACAATGTAAGAGCTTGAGAGGGCATGCGAGCCCACTTGTTGGCAAGTTTAGCGTAACGATACTCTCTCCTGGAGGAGGAAACAGAACCTTTCTTGAGATTAGGCCTCAACTGATATTAAGACCCTCTCAACCAAAAATTCTTCTTTACACCTCATTCCAGTTTCCTTATCTTCGATCAAGATGCGTGGCTCACAAGTCACCAGGAGGCTATGCATCAATTTTTTATGGGAAATTTGCTCCAACAGGGACACCAAGTTGGACTTATACACGAACTGAAAGTATTCGATGAACATAAAACTTTTAAGAAAAGCATAGTGAAAACATGAGCTTATCTTTCTCCAGATAACCGGCAGGCATAATCAGCACATCTCATACAAGATGCCTATCATCAATTCAAAGCACAATTCCTACTCTAAACATGAAATTATATTAATCAGAATGTAATTGTCAATGACATTATCCATGTAACAGAAACAAGCTCTTGAAGTCCATAACCATTACCCCTTGTTCCTCTACATTACTATCTTCAAAGAAATCCTAGAATACAACAGTATGGGCAATATAGAGATCTTGATGGAATCAAAGGAGACCAATAAGCTAAAAGTACCTGCAATATAGCATCTTTTGCAGAAGCAAGAATCATGAATTCATCTCCTCTACACGACATCGTATGCATGGATCGGGTTCATCTGACTCTATCTCCATAAACAAATGTTTTCAACACAAGTGACATCCAAACTTCAAAAGGCAATTCAATAATCATAACAAATCTTTAATGAACTCAAGGTTTAGTGTGTCTCTGACAATAAGAAACAACCCAAGGAGTAAAACAAGCATGATACCAGACGACATAATCCGTTGCTCCAGCTCTAGAGGAAGCTTCCGTCCGCCTCTAGCAGCTTCTAGAAGTACAAGGGCCAGTGAACCGCCGTCCAATGCAGGTAAAGGGAGAAGATTAATGACTGCAAGATTAAGATTCAGAAGAGCTGCAAACTCATATAGGCCATCCACGGTGGACCTTGCAACTTCAGCACCCACGGCGATAATAGCTACGGGGCCTGAGACTTTGCTTGCTGATTGTGAGAAATTCATAAAAGTCTGCTTCAAACTATCCAAAACGTTGTAAGTGAGACCCCAGAACTCCTTTCCAGTATAATTGAAGGCCTCAAAGATATTATTGGGTCTCAATTTAGTTATCTTTATGTTTGGTGATAACTGGACTCCAATCTTCCCTGATCCATCAAAATTCTCATCCGGAACAACCCCAATTTCAAAATCCTGCTTTGCCCTCTCCACCTTCAAGAACACATTTCGTTTGGGATTTTTCTTTATAATGTCAACAACTTGAGAAACTACACTAGGCCCAGTTTTCTGCAATTCAATACCATTCACAGCAAGGATAACATCACCGGGAAGAAGGCCGTCGCGGGAAGCGGCCGAAAAGGGTCTAACATCGGGGACGAGCACACCGGAGAATGGCTCTTGCATTGGTAATCCGACAGACAAGACTTGAGTAAAGATGATTGCGTAGGCAAAAACTATATTGGCGACGACACCAGCCGAAATGACGATGACCCTATCTAATATGGGTCTGTTCTTAAGCAAATTCTCATCGTCCTCAGGAATATCACTGTCTGGATCATTATCAGGGAACCCCACAAATCCACCCAACGGGACAGCTCTAAGAGAAAACTCTACATCGTTGGCGTTGAACTTTGCTAAAATTGGACCGAATCCAACAGCGAATTTACTTACACGGATTCCCTGGAGATAAGCAGCGAGGAAGTGACCGGTCTCGTGAACGACAATGATGGCAGTCAAGACGCCGGCGGCTTCCAACACGGATTCAACGTTCCCGAAGTCAAGTCCAGGAAGAGCACGTGACCTGAAATCGATCCTATCGGTTCGACTCAACAACTTGTTCTTGCTTGAGTGAGAAACGGAAAGAGAAGGAGATTTAACGAGGTGGGTTCTGGGTTTGAATGGGAACTCCGAGTACGGTGGTCTTGAAGTGTATAACCTGCTGGGGAAATAAGTGGAGGAGGAGAAAGAAGTTGGACAAGTAGAAGAAAGAGAAGAGAAGTTAATGAGCATGACTCCGATCGCTTGGGCTGAAACAAGATTGGGGATTAAACACGAAAGTGGAGAATTATGGGGTTGGCCAAAAGAATATCGTGTGGCGAAGAACAGAAGCAGGCAGAGGAGGATAATTCATATTTGTTGGGTTAGGTTGGTGTCCAACTGCGTGGAGGGGAAATGCCCCACATTTTTTTTACCCAAAATCACTTCTACCTCTCCATATATCCGGTTTTCGTCACTAAATTTATTTTTGAGTAAACTACGTATTTAGTAATTAAACTATCAGATTTATCTGTTTTAGTATTTAAAATCTTCTCAGCGGGAAATGAGGTTGCAAGAAGATGAAGCGTTTAACCTATTCAAAGATTTGCATACATCTATGGGGAGACATTTTTGTACCGGTGTCGTCGAATTTGATCTTTGTAGTAAGATTCATGAGCAGTATCGTGATCGACATACAGGTGAAACTCTTTTTGTCCCTGTAGTTGACAACATTGAACTATTCTGATTTGATGGGGATACTTTCGTTGAAGAACCATTAAAGGATATCGGCCCAGATGATGACGAGGTGAGGCCCTTCAATGAAGAACCAGGCGACCTTGACATGCCAGAGAGCGAATGATGATGACATTCCACATGTCGCGCCTCCTGTTTCTTATTACCGGCCACCATCCCACTTCACTACAGTTGAGATGGAACCTTTAAACGCTTTCGACTTTCCAAAATTCCCGCAACTTGAGCAATACAACGACATGGTGATGGTGCGCTTTATGTTGGAATGACATTCATAACAAAATAACTCGTCGTGACTGCAATTAAGAACTATAATATACGTCGATCGGTTACGTCGACTGTGGAAAAAAAACTCGGATAAGTACATCGTTGAATGTGTCCACAAGTCTAACGGATGTAATTAGAGGGTTCGTGTATCACGCTTGAAGAGGCTGAACAACCTATGGAAGCTAACATCATACGAACAACCTCATACATGCACCACCAGCAGGCTCACTCAGGATCATCCAAACTTAGATGTTAGCGTGCTTTCTGATGCCTTCATACCACTGGTCAAAGCAAATCCACGCATTACGGTTTCCAGTTGTATTGTTGTAATCACATCTCAGTACAACTACAATGTTAACTACCATAAAGCATGGTAAGCTAGGTATCATGCTCAACAAAAGTGTATGGCCAATGGGAAGAATCGTACAAAGAGTTATGGCAATGGCTGAAACTGATGAAGAAATACATATCGGAAACGATTGTCAAACTTGAAACTGTGTTGGCATACAAAAACGATTGTGTCATACAAGATGTGTGTCAATTTCACAAGCTATTTTGGACATTTCTATAGTGTGTTAATGCACTTTCGGCACTGTAAGACGATAGTTCAAATCATCGACACTTGGTTCTACGGAAGATTACACAAATAATGTTGTTGACAGTGGCACAAGACGACAATAGAAAAACAATTCACATCGTATTCGCAATAGTCGAAAATGAAGATATAGACTTGGGCATTCTTCAAGTATTTGCACAGATATGTTCTATCACGTGTCTTGCAAGAGTGTCCTGCTGGGATATATCTTATATCTGACAGAGGCGTAGAGATCAGATACGCAATTGAGCATATGGGACCATCTTGGACGCCTCCCCATATTTATCATCGGTATTGTTTACGCCACATTGTCGTTAATTATTTGTAGAAATTTAAGAACGAATATGAATGTGTAATGGTGCTTCGAATGGGTACACATTTCAATTTATTGGAATCATATATTTTGTCATTTATTATGTATAATTAACTGTTGCATTTACATTAGGTAGGCCAGTAGCATTCTACACACGAGGTTAACGAGCTGTTTGAAGAACTGAGACACATGAATCAGGAAGGCTACAACTACCTTGCGAAAATCCCAAGGAGAAATGGCTTCGATCATTTGATGTGGGCAAACGATATGATCACATGACAACGAACTTGGTTGATGCAATCAATTCATCGTTGAAGGGAGTGCGACATTTACCTATCACTTCCGTTGTAAAAGCGACATTATAATTTGGCAACCATGTTTGCAACCTTGGGAAGGCAAGTAGATGAGTGGATTGCAGGTGGTAACATAATCCACCCAGACCTCCATCAAAAATCGCTCAAACGTGATGAATGCAACATGCATCTCTCACGAACAAAATCAATTTCGTGTTTCGTAAATATTCCAGACCATTCGAAGGAATACAACACAACACATACATCTTCAATCTATGTGACAGAACATCCAACTGTGGAGTATTCCAAACATTCAACTATCCGTGTCCGCATGTAATTGCCACTTGTTCTTCTATAAGGATTGACTAGTGCAGTATGTTGATCGCGTGTATTTACTGGAAACCGTATCTAATGTGTACCGATACGAGTTTCCTCAGGATCTTTTTTCAGGAAAGTTCTCGAGAAAATGGTAATAAAAATCCCTTGTTATTCTACTTCACCTTCGGAATACAAAGACAAAAATCCTTCTACCAATTAACCCTATTAGACTCATATGAATGCACATTCGAACAACCAAAAGAATGACAAAAAACAATGGTTTCTTTTGTCCCTCTTTCAAACAAGATACAATAACTCAACGAGTTTGTAAGACACATCTACAAAAACACAACAGGAAATATGAACATTTTTCAGTCGGAGGTAAGTTAAGGAAATTACAAAAAATAGTCGGGTGTTCTCCATGCAGTCTCGGGCTCAATCTGACGTGGAGCTGGGTGAAATTGAAGAAAATTTTGCTCCATATTCTCTCCAATCTTCAGTATTGCAGCCATATTTCCACAGCGATAGCAGTAATTTGGGGCACTGAACACTGTTACCACATTCTTGTCCTACAATAATACATAGATTAGTATAATAAATATCAATCAAATAGAATAGATTACACAAACATTGTTTCTTTTTTCATTGGGGTTTCACAAACCTGGGACCAATTATATCCTTCCATAACAAGCTGGTGAGCTCTAGACATCAGGGTGAGCCCATTCGTGTGGTTGAACTGCCCAGAAATATCCTGCCCAAAGGTATACCCTGCTCCTCGAGGAGATATTCCCCACCCACATCGGTCGTCGGGATCAGACCATAAGAGATCACACATTGGACCCTCACGAGGAACCTACACAACCAACAAATACAAAGATGCTAGTAAAATTTAAAATACAGCAATACTGAGGAAGGCATATTTGACGTGATGACCCCAGTTAGGCTTCTAGAAAAACAGTGATAATAATGCTAACTGATAGATGTGACATCATTACCAGTATCTAGAATCATGTCCATAAAAAAGACAACATTCGTAGGGCCAATTTCGATTTATGAGTCATGGTATCTTTAGTTAGTGAGTCGGGAAATCAAAAAGTTCTACTCCAACCTACCTCTTATTTTCAAAAAATAATACCCATCTAGACATCAGGGTGAGCCCATTCGTGTGGTTGAACTGCCCAGAAATATCCTGCCCAAAGGTATACCCTGCTCCTCGAGGAGATATTCCCCACCCACATCGGTCGTCGGGATCAGACCATAAGAGATCACACATTGGACCCTCACGAGGAACCTACACAACCAACAAATACAAAGATGCTAGTAAAATTTAAAATACAGCAATACTGAGGAAGGCATATTTGACGTGATGACCCCAGTTAGGCTTCTAGAAAAACAGTGATAATAATGCTAACTGATAGATGTGACATCATTACCAGTATCTAGAATCATGTCCATAAAAAAGACAGCATTCGTAGGGCCAATTTCGATTTATGAGTCATGGTATCTTTAGTTAGTGAGTCGGGAAATCAAAAAGTTCTACTCCAACCTACCTCTTATTTTCAAAAAATAATACCCATTACAAATTCCACATGCGTGGATACTCAACGATGTACTTTATACTTTATAGTTTATATGCTATACCAAGTTTTGAAAAGGTTTTCTATTAGTCAGATACTATTATTTGTAATGTAACAAGGCCATCTCCTCAGACTATTTAACTTTCAAGTGCAAAGGACAATGGAACTGCAGACTGCAGTTTTACCTCTTGAATACAATCAAGAGAACGGATGTTATCTAACGTATCCAAAGATGGAGAGAGTCCGCCATGCAAGCAGAAAATCTGCAAGGACCACAAATGTTATCATCTAAAGTCTTGGAAATAATCAAGATAAGACTGGGTCTAAGAATTCAAAGTTCAAACCTGACTTTCAATCAGCGCAGTCAGAGGTAAATAGTCAAGGAGGTCAGTGAAATACTTCCATACATTAGCATTTCCATATTTTCTCAAGCATTCGTAAAAGAAGCCATATCTGAAAAGAGGGGCAGCTGATTACATACTGATCCAGCGATATCACTAAATAACTTCCACTCCTTGATATTAGGATATCATGATCCAAATACATATTACTGGTTTAACAAGTATCCATACTCCATTTTTCCAATTTACTTACAAGAAACATTAGTCTGTCATAGCAACATAAAAGAAGAAAACTTAAGAAAAGTGTAAGTACTCCAAAGAACAATCAAGAGTACTTCGCTCCAGGGTGCAGAAATTTATTTAGTCAATGAAAAAAAAAAGACAGCAAGTGCATTACAGAATGAAAAGGAGAAAAAACAATAAATATGCATATCTCACACTTGAGTTATCTGGCGGCTCTCATGGTTTCCCCTTAAAATAGTTATTCTATCTCTATAACGAACTTTCAGAGCAACTAAAAGTGTGACATTAATATCCTCGATCTGCATATACCAATGGAAAAATAATCACCTGCATACAAAGCACATATACTAAAGACACGTCGTTATGAATGATTTATGGAAACATTAGACAAGAAAAAAGCCAGCACAAACGATGCCAGAGAAAACCAAACAGTGCAGAAAAGGCAATAGATTGAATAATACTCAGTATCAAGGCTCTCCATTATCTTTCTACAAATTCCTGTCCTAAAGGATGAGTTGTTATTTTTTTAAAAACATGGACTTTATGCAATTTTATCTTCTTTTACTAGCATCTCACGTTACCAAATAGAGCAGACGAAACAATGGAACAAACAACAATACAAACAACCAAATTCTTTGATCTCTCGGTAAATGGTTGGATTGATTGAAAAGTAACAAATA